ATGATTTTAGCAAATGGCTGCAATATAACAAAGAGTGAAAAATTATATAATTGCACATGCATTGTGTTTATTTAGTTTAAGTTCTTTCTGTATATTATTTGTTTTTAAACTACTTACCTTTTGTAAATGACCTGATTTGAGTGTCCTTTTGTATTTCTTAAATCCATCATTTTTTATTTATTGCAGTGTTCTACAGAACATTTATGTTCAACTTCTGGCAAAATAAATAATATTTAAACTACAATTAATGTTACGATGTCTTCACATCTCAGTTTGGAATAAAAAGGTGGTTTGACAGTGATTTGCTTCATATTGTGATATATATCGATATCGGCTGATATGGAAAAAAATTATCGAGAGAAGATTTTTTCCATATCGCCCAGTCCTAGCCTCACCCTTCAGATGCTGGCTCACAAAACCCACCCAATCATCCTTAGGAACCCATAGTACATTAATGGCCGAACGCATAGAAGCCACCAATTCTTCAACGCCCACATCACCGGGGTGTAAGGCGGCTCCACTAAAGTTTACCAATTTGCGGTCTCTAGGAAAATATACTGCGGTCAGCGAAACGGCCTTAGCTAAGGATAGAGCTTCTCTATGATCCTCCCTAGCTTGAAGTAACAGTTTAGACTGCTCCACTAATCTGGTCTGCAGCCGTTCAAACTCCTTACACAAATCCAGTCATGGTCAGTCATGTTTAACTGTTTCCGCTGTAACAAGGCCACAGCAGGATTTTTATCCTATTTGTGACGCCAAAATGTAACCAAGACAGGTAGTCCTTACCCGCCAATTGGGGCTGTGTGTTGAAGCCTTTCTCAGCCGGGCAGGGGTACTGCAGATCTAGGTCCCAGGCCCCTGACCGAATAAACCTCTTTACTATACTGCATGCTTTTAGAATGAGCCTAAGAAGGCTTCAGGATTTAAAACGGTCACGGTTACCTGAAGAGTATGAGCCTGCCATGAGTGTTTGGCCTGTAGCCGTAAAATGCTTCCCCTCCTTGTCTCACCCTCCACAACACAGTGGAGGCGCCCTTATGCTCGGAAAGTAAAACGAGATTCCGCCCATTAAATTTAACCAAACGGATATTTAGGGAACTACGATTTATGCCCGTTTAAAAGAAGGAGATAAAATAACTATCAAGGCTACTACCATACTATCAACCAAAAGAACGTTCATGCAGGAAAGTCCTATACCGACAGGGTAGACAAGACAGCATGGGAAATAAGACACGTTATATATGCTTTCAGCAACAGACGATCGTCGATTAACAGCAATATATTTAACAGGATATCTTTGCCATATCACTACGAACATTTACATCTAGAACATACTGAAAAACATTGGCTTCTTATAAAAAAAATACAAACATATAGATTCAAACCTCCCTGCAAGGCCCATCCCACAATTATCACGCAGTCCAAAGGTTTTCACTTCAGTCCTGGAGAAAGTTTAATGTCCCTTTCTTTTCGTCCTCCTGATCTGGGTCCAGAACAACAAATTTAGCTCATACGGCGTTTTCGCCCGCTTCAAAGCTTCTCAGACGAAGCTTTTTCTCTTCTCCTTTTCTTCAAACGAAAACAGGAAAAACAGCAACGTCCCCACCAACAGTGCAATCCAACCCTAAATTATCAGGGGTTGTAGAAGATCTACAAACTGGCAGGGCATAAAATACACACTCCAACCTATACCAGGGCCGTTCGCCCTTCATGTATTTCACCAAAGACACCTTCCTACCCATCGATTGTCACCACAACTATAAACCGGACACAGCAGTGTTTCTGCTGCCCAAAACATCTACACTTTCCTGTGCACCTTCCCTTAGGCACCCCAAAAACGCGCCAAATCCCTCTCTGAAAGCACCTCAACCCGCGCTCTTTCCTCCTCCCCCTAAATGACGGGATTGACCTCTGCTTCTTCCCACCACACAATGTGCACCCTCTTAAGGGGACCAGATACAATCACCCCGCCTTACATGGATAAATGGCAAAAAGAGGATGCATGGATGGATGGATATTAGAGGGAAATATGAGAAGTTGGCTAGCTCTTCTGCAAATGGGTTTGTATGTGATTTTAATACTACAGCATGAAATGTGCTAGATGCATTGGCCCCTGAACAAGTAAAAACAAGTAAGCAAAGATACACTGTACCATAGAAAAATGCGGATATTTGTCAGTTAATAAGAAGCTGCAGGAAAGCGGAACGCAGGGGGAGGGAAACTAGATTAGAAGTGCGTCAAAACATACAAAGCATCTGTGTACAAAAAAATCTGTCTCAAAAATGATTGCTGATTAAAAAATGCCATTTTTACTTTATTACTAGAGTGCAATTTTCAATGATTAATGAGCTACTCAACCCAGTGCATCCTATGGTAAGGAGGTGTCTGCTGAGAAATATAAGGGATTTGCAGTTTTAAAAAAAATATATATAAAATCATCAATATTCAATCACCAGCTCTGATAGTATTACCTCTGCCTTGATAGATGGGTATGTAAATGATTTGATTTACAAGGAGCTGCCACGTCTAGTCAGCAGACAGAGGACGCCTCATACAGTAGATGCATTAGATAGCATTACCAGCACTTGACGAAGTTTGATAGGGGTCACATTGTGGGTTTGTACGAGGCCAGCTGGTTGTATCGTGAATCCAATGGGCACATGGGGGCACCCACACATGTTGTGAAGGTTCTGGTCGCCCAAGATAGACCACTTCAAGGGAGGATCATCGTATTGTGTGCCAAGCATTACAGAACCCCATGACATCTGCACCTGACATCTGGACACAGGTATTGGGCTACAGCACCCCATGTCATCCCGCACCGTGTCTCGATGACTGGCATCACCATCCCATGCATGAGTTGCTGTGACACCAGTGCCATAACCAGGAGGCATGGACTGACGAGTGGCATCGTACCATGTTCAGTGATGAATCTCAGTTCAGCATTTTCACGGATGACCGCAGGAGAGGATACAATGGCTGTATGACTCCCTTCCGCACTGTATCACCACATGTATCCAGGCCCGGGGGTGTGGGGGGTGCCTCACCCTACTGACATGGGACCAGCAGTGTGCCCATACAGACAACTCTTGTTGTTCATTTGATCTGATATTATAGTCACTGCGATACAGTCAGATGACCTTTCACCACATGCAGTTCATTTCCACCACTCTGTCGGGGTGCTTTTTCTTGTCATTGAGTGTATTTATGGAATGGACTGTACACATTGTAAATACATTACTTTCAACAAACACATTTCAAAATTCTTTAAAATGTGCTGTGGCGACACCACTTACAAGGCACACAATGGAATAACAACTACTTGCATAACTGATCTCCTAACCTTCTACACTCTCCACAGAACTCGATATGTGCCCATGATCAGCTCCTTGATCTTCCAACTCCAAGATCCCCCAGATACCCAGAGTTAAACAAGAGTGTGGGGGAGGCACCTTTCAGTCATCATACACCTAAACAATGGAATAAACCGCCAGCAGCAATTAGAGAATCTGAATCACTTCCTTGCTTTAAAAAAAAGCTATTAAAGACATGCTTTTGCACAAGCTTTTTAGATGTATTTTATTGTTTTAATTTCTTTTAGCTATCCTGCATTTTTAGTTTTTAATTTTCTTATTGTATTTAAATATATTTTTATACCTTTTTTGTTCTTGTACTTCTACATGAATTTTATTTTATTCTAATCTGTTTTGTCGTTTTTGCTCTTCATTTCACAATTTTATTGCTTCTTCGATCTCATATCACTGTTTCACCCTTTATGTTATCATTTGACATTCCCTTTTTGAAATATCTGATAACCATATCTCTAGTTGGTTAATCTGTATAGCTGCTCTACCTTTTATTCTACACATAAAGCTCTTTGAGCTGCCTTTCATATATGAAAGGTGCCACATATACTTATTAAAGATTATTAATAGAAAATAATGTTAAAGCTCATGTATAAACTACAGTACAAATTTAACAAATGCCTGTTTACAAAGCATCATACAACTGAGAAAGCAGGGTGAGCCAGGGTGCCTGGATCACATGGGGTGAGGGACCTTGCTGAAGGGCCCAGCTGTGAAATCACTCTGCCGACCACAAGATTTGAAATGGCCTCCTTCCATTGGTGGGCCTGCAGTCCAAAGCCGCCGAGCCACAGGCTGTCCCTGCTCAGCGATTACAGTAACTCACAGGAATGAGCTTTACGACCAATGAAAACAAGCGGATCGGTATGAACATTCACAGGCAATTCGGAACAGGAATAATGAATTACTGTGAATGGGGGCGCTCACCCACCCCTTCCACATACCCCCGGGGCCCCAAAAATCTGCCTGCAGTGTGATGTCACTGTTGGGCCCTTAACCCCTACTACGCCAGGAACACCAGCTGCCCCTGCTCCCTGATCCTCACTCGTGTGTTACTGCCGACAAAAGCATCTGCCAGAGAAGTAAATGTACAACAGAAAGTCAATACTTTATTGATCCCGCCTAGCCCTTGCTCTCTATGATAGAGACATACATACAAGTTGGGATCAAGGTTGGGGGTCACAGTGCAATACCCCTGGGATTCAAACCGGCACCCATCCAACCACAAGCACAGATTCCTAACCCACCAAGTCACTCAACGATCTCCAACATAAAACATTAATGAAATATTGGACTTTTGATATTGTAAACTATTGCTCAGAAATCCTTCTTAGATTCTTAGGTTATACACACTGGGGGGTTTCTTTACATAGGCCCGAACACAGAACCACTTTAGTGGGCATTTAGAGGAGCCTTTCTGTACACTGCTGTTGCACTGAGCTGTTATTTGTGCCCAGGGGCTGGGTCAGGCAACAGATAAAGATAAAATTTATGACTTCCAGAGAACTGCAGCTGGTAATGGCTTCGGTGGAATATGACACTTATTTATGGGCGGGCGGTTCTCTCACACAAACGTAGACCATACATGTTCTTCTGGGTGGAAGCGTCAGTCAAGTAGAGACAAACTGAAATCCACATGATTTGACACGTTCGTGAAGACCTCCCTACCTGACAGTGCCTTCTATGGTGGACTGAGCTCACCCTATAGTAACATTCATTGGTGTCCAGCCACAGTTTCGCACTGTCCTGTGTTTTGCTCTATAAGTAGTGAACCCCCCTCCCCTCCCCTCCCCTCCGCTAATTGCCTTAAAAGTGTCTGCCAGAGAAATAAATGTAAAACAGAATAACTTTACTGATCCCATGGGGAAACTGTCTTTCACCTACCCCTTCTTGCTCTCCATGACCAGCAAACAGGTTGAGATCAAGCTTGGGGGGTCACAGTGCAATACCCCTGGAGCTGGGGGTTAAGGGTCTTGTGTAGGGACCCAACAGTGGCTTCAGGCCTGGGATTCAAACCGGTACCCATCCAACCACGAGCACAGATTCCTAACCCGCCAAGCCACTCAACGATCCCCGACATGAAACATTAATGAAATATTGGACTTAAGTGTGATACCATTCCTCCTCCGATTCTTAGATTATACACAGAGTGGTCACTTTACGTAGGATCTACATAAATCATGACCTTAATCGAAATGCAAATAACGTATCACAGATAAGATTTGTGACTTCCAGAGAACTCCAGGTTATGTCATCTGTGGACCATGACCCTGTCATTTAAGATTGGCGGTTCCCTCCCAACATAAAGCAGGCCTGTTCTGGGTGGGAGCATCAGGGAGGCACATGCAAGGCAGAAGCTACATGAACTCAATAACAGAACCTTCTATGGTGCCCTGAGCCTGCTCACCTCATAGTAACAAACACTGGTGCCCAGCTCCCCTGTGTCACACTGTCCTGTTTGTTGCTCTTTAAGCTGTGAACCCCACCCTTTGTCATTTGTGTTTGTTGCACTGCAGTCCTGCGGAACACCATTTTGTACTGCTGCATAACTGCGTGGTGTGTGGCTCAGCCTATTAGGCTTGTGATCAGAAGGTTGCTGTTTTGGATCCCATACTCGGCAGAATGGCCACGAGCAAAAGGCCCTTAGCTCCCCGAAATGGTCCAGAGGGTTCATTTTGACCCGTATGGTGGGCTGAGTGGTCAAGGTCAGGTGTGTTGACAGTGAGGCTCAGTGAGAGGGGCCAGCAGGCTGGGGCGGGGCGTCCACCTTCTTCTGGAAATCCTCCCAGTACTGTACATCCTCATCCGCCAGGGGAACGGCTCCGGAGATGAGGTCGTCAAAGGTCAGCAGGGTGAACTGCTGGGGCGGGGAGATCTTGGAGGTCCAGTCATCCTCCTGTAAAGGTCATCACACTCATATCTCACTGTCATTTCTGGGTTGCATTAAGGCCCAGCAGAAGCAGTCCCTCAGGGATTAGAACCACACACACACACACACACACACACACACACAC